TCTACTCTCCTAAAGAGTGACAGTGTTGTTAACTCACAGCGGTGGTTCTGCCCTGTCCTACAGGTCACTATGAGTTGGCATTGACTCGATGGCAGTGAGTTGGGGGGAGGGGGTGGTTTTGGTTTTGTTATCAGTCGGTATAGGCAGGGGTTATGCTGCAGTAACGAACATCCCTGAAAACTTAGGGGCAAACTGAGAGACCAGCATGAAGACACAGAGACTGTTCAAGCTTTGTGCAGAAGGTACCCACCCGTGTTACCAAACACCTTGGGCAGGGAGTTTTGAAGAATATAACCTGTCATGTAAACTCACCAGGAACACAGTGCAATATAGGGGGAATCTGGGACGCTTATAACCATAAAGATCCGTTCCTCATTTCGCTATATGCCCCATTAATGCGCCCTAGAGACACAGTCACCCTGGCTACTGGCTGAAAGGTTGGTGGTTCAAACCCAACAATGGCTTTGCAGGAAAGCACCTGCCAGTGGGCTTCCATAAAGATTGTGGCCTTGGAAAGTGGATGGGACAAAGCTACAGGGCCCTGGGCATTGGAGTCTACTTGACGGCAATGGAGTTGAGTTTGGGGGGGTTCGAGGGGGTTTGGGGTGTGTGTATGGGAGGGCATGTGTTTTGGTTTTGTCCATAACAGTCAACTGTAACTTCAGTCCACGTCATCTCTACTCCAGAATGCCGCTTCTGTGCGAACATTCCCAGCTTTGGACGTAGGGAAAGACCACGTGGCACCCACGCTCTGGCTCTCAGAGCTCTAGCCCTAAGTCGCAAGTCACTAAGTGGCGCACCTGAGTTCAGGAGCAAGGGTGTTGACCAGGGTTCAGCAAACGTTTCCCATGATGAGTCAGCGAGGACGTACTTCAGGCTTTGTGGGACTTAGGGTCTCGGTCGGGACTGCTAACCTGCCCCTTCTCACACCACTTAAAATGTAAGAACCATTCTTGCTGAGCTTGAAGGTTACGCAGAGCCAGGCAGTAGGCCACAGGGACCTGGGCTATAGTTTGCCAACTCTGTCATCATTAAATGACGTCAAATCTGTTCTGCCACCGCATAAGAGACTGCCTGGTCCTGCACCGTCCTCATGCCACTCACTGTGATTTTGAGCTCACTGCTGCAGCCACTGGCAGTGCATCTCGCCAAAGTGCTTCTCCTAGTTCACCATCCCTCTACTTTATCCAGCATGAGGTTTGTTTTTTTCAAGTTTCTTCTGATTTTTTAATTATAATTATTATGTTAATAACAACCTGAATCCCCGTACTCTCAGCTACTGTCCAAACTCCCTCCCCTGGGCCAAGGAGACAGGGCCCTGCTGGGGAACAAGGCATTGGGGTAGGGGGACCATGTCTGCCAGGGAGCCTCCAACTCCCCCAAACCATCTCGTGCTGGGGAGCGGTGGGGGTGTCCCAGAACAATGACACAAGGGAGGGGGTATGAGGAGGCTGGGACCGCTCATGGAGGAGGGTGCCCTCTAACACCCCATCCTGGGACCGTCCCTCTTCCACCAAGCCCCACAGGCACCCTAGCCAAGACCCTGGGGACTATGGAAGATGTGGGTAGGGCTGGTGGACCGGCCAATGCTGAGTGTTGAACTCCCAGCCTGGGGATCAGGAGACATTAAAGCTGCATAGGAAGAGGGGGCGGGCAGCTGGGTACAAGGTCGGGCAGCCTTGGCAGCCCCCAAAGGCACATTGTGAGAGAAGGGAGGCTGCTCAGATGGAGGGCCCGTTGGCTGCAAGGGGGCCCAAGTCTCGGGACTCCTGAGGCGGGCAGCTAGGCCAGCTGCTTGGGGCTAGCCAGGGCACGCAGCAGCCCGTTCTCCAGAGCAGCGTTCCACTCGGCCAGCTCCCGGTCTGCTCCTTCCGCACCTCCACCTCCCGGACCGCAGACATGAGGTGGGATTCCACCAAGTCCATGGCTTGTTCAATCTTGTTGTCAATGCCAACCAGGCTTCCGGAACCCTATCCTCATCGCTGTCCGGGTGACCACTGATGGCCAGCATGGAGTGGGCCAGGCTGAGGCTCTGGGCTACCACCCCAAAGGGGTCTGGGGGCTTGTGAACCAGAGTGGCATCAGGGAAGAAGTCGAGGGCCGGTGAGCTGGGGTGGGAGTCAAGTGGGGGGCGCCTGCCCTGTCTCCTCTAGAGCCACCAACTCCATTCCCAACTGCAAGGGTCCATCCTTCCTTCTGGACAGCAGTGGTGTCCTGGCTGCTGAGGTCCTGGGCTCTACTTCCACCCTCAGCGAGGGCAGGCGCATGGAGGCCCAGGATGTGCCCTCAATGTCCTGGATCCCAGGCTCTGGGGGCGAAGCTGGGGTGGGGAGGCCGATAGCAGGGCGTCACCCCTTTGGCCTTGCCGGCACTTACTACCATTTGGACCAGTCCTCCTGTGCAGGAGCGGGCTTGGGGTCCAGGGGAAGTGGGGGGCGGGCAGAGCCAGGTGGGGCCCTGACGCAGGCCTGGCTGTGGGGCCCGGTGGCCAGGCCCAAGCTGGCCAGCTCTAACCTGGAATCCAGTGACCTTCCCCCCCCACTCCCATGCCCCCTGATTCCCTCCAGAAGCCGGCCAAAGCTAAGCGGCTCCAGGTCTCTCTCGTAAACATCACACATGTCCACCAGCCTCAGCGATAAGGCTCTCCCAGGCTGGGGGCAGCTTCCCCACCCTTCTGATAACATACCCCAAGTATGTGAGGTGAAGTCTTGCCATCCACGCCCCAAGGAGCATTCTGACTGTACCACTTCTGAGACATTTGGTTGTTCTTGTGTCGCCCTCTAGCATCGTAATTCAAATGTTTCGATTCTTCAGTCTTCCTGGTTCACTGTCAGCTCTCACATGCATGTGAGGTGGTTGGACATATCCTGGCTGTCTTCAACGTGCATCACCCTCCTAGAGTGAGAGATGCGGACCCCCAAGTATGGGTGAACAGCAGGGTGGTTTCTACATGTATGTCGTATAAATAACATGCATGTTATACTCTGAGGTTTTTATTCCCAATGGCACTCACTCCCACCTAGGTCATTTCATAACACGCTATGTTAATGTTTTACAGCAACATGTAACTATGTAGTTATCAATTGCTTATGAAAATACCTGGCTGAGGGAGGGTGCACTTGCCAGTAAAAAGTGTAACACATGCCACATGTATTGTTTTTGTCACAGTGTGGTCAGTGTGTGTGTGTGTGTGTGTTCATAGTCTCTTTTATAGAATAGTTGTGGTTAACACACACTGTGATGCAGTTGCCTTTGTTTACTTAGTTCGCTGTTGTCGTTTCTTACTAAAGAACCTTTTAGTGGAGGCTCTTACAGCTCCTATAGCAATTCCTACATCACTTGTATCCAGCAGTTGGACATAGGCTGCCACCATTATTTTCTAGACATTGACTTTCTCTTGAGACCTTGGTATCAGCTCATCTTTCCCCACCCCCACCCTCATGACCCCTTGATAAATTATTATTTTCATATCTTACACCAACCGCTGTCTCCCTTCCCCCTCGGTTTCTGTTGTTTGTCCCCCTGGAAGGGCGGGGGGGTGGTGGTTATGTGTCGATCATCGCAGTCAGTTCCCGCCCCCCTCCCCACCTTCCCCCCAGCCTCTGGCATCACTACGCCCGTTCCTGCTCCTGCTCCTGTGTCGTGGGGGATGCTGTTTCTTGACAATCGTTTCATATCAATAGGTCTAGGGGGACTTCACTTTGTGCAGTGTCCACCTGATTTTCTGTGGGATGGGTGGGCCAGGGAGGGGTTTTGTTTGTGTGTCTATATCAGGGCTTTGAACCTGTTATTCCACGTGAAGCTGTGGCCATTGAAACAAAGCCTGAACAGACCCACATTTTGAATGGGATTGTACCTGAATGATGAGCAGCACAGGAAAAATTACAAGCCAGTTCCCTGCTAGGAGTGCCATCTCTCCCAGAAAACAAGGGCAGCGTATACAGAGCAGAGCCACCAAGTCTCGTGGCAGCTAGGGTTGGAGACAACGATGCCGGCTCAAAGATGGTGGGGCTTTTCGTTGTTGTTGTTGTTGTTTGTTTTTAACTAGCATGTGAGGAGCAGTCGTGGGTCAATGGTAAAATTCTCTCCACGCGGGAGACCCACGTTCAGCCAACACACACCTCGTGTAGATCCCCTCCGTCTGTTAGAGATGACTTGCATGCCTCTCTGACGCCGAACAAAGAGCCCTGTTGGCACAGTGGGTTACACCTTGCGCTGCTCACCACAAGATCAATAGTTCAAACCCACCAGTCATTCCTCAGGAGAAAGGGGATTTCTGTGCCGCCTCAGAGACTCACATGGTAGTTCTTCCTATCCTGTCCTACGGGTCTCTGAGCTGGAATTGACTTGATGCCCATAAGTCCATTGAGCAGGACGCTGGGCGGGTGTCAGCAGAGCTGACAGACTAAGAAAGACTAGGAAGAAAGGCCTGGTGATCTGCTTCAGAACCCTCGGCCCACGGAGACCCTGGGGACCACAGTGGTCTGCCCGCTGTGAGCAGCATCACCACGTGTGGGACACCACTCTGCAGCCCTGACGATGAGACAGTGGTTGCCCGCATAGAGAGCCCACTGTCACGGGAGTGCCAGCATACCACGTCTCCCTAGAACTGGTACCTTGGAATTCCTCAGCCCTCCCTGAAATGTTTCTTAAGAAGAAAGATTCATGCTGGTGGGGGCCTCTGGAAAAACAGATTTTCCAAGGGGCCTTCCTTCACTGCAGTGATTTCTTGTCATTGCCACGCTGGACGCAGGTGGGGTTCTGGGGGCAGGGAGGCAGGTTCACGACGAGAGGCTGCGTGCGTGTGAAAGGGACAGGGTGATCAATGTATCAGAAGCTGTGCAGCATCAGCACCCAGACCCCACCAGAGACAGACCTTCGGCCACATCCCAGGCAGGCAGAAATCCAAAAGTGCCTTTGAGGGGTGGGGTGGAAGGTGGAGGAGGCTGGGACAGCAGAAGCCCCCACTGAGTGTCTGGTCCCCCTTTCCTTTCCCACAGGACACCACGACGTCCGTGCGTATCGGCCTGATGATGGAAGAGATGATCTTCAACCTCGCCGACACCCATCTGTTCTTCAACGACCTGGAGGTCTGGCACCGCCTGTTTCCTTTTGCACACATCTTTTCGGCACTTAATCGCCCTCAGCTGGGCTTGGGGGGAGGGGGGGGCATGATGCTGTCCTTTTTAATTTTGTCCTTTGGGTGGCTTGAAACTTTTGCTGGCAACCCCCAAGGCCCAAAACTGTGGCCAGAGACGGCTTATTGAAAACACTTGGTGGGGGGCGGGTTACCTCCTGGCTTCCTCGCACAGCGAACGAACGAACGGGCTTCTCTGGGCTGCTTTCTGGGGATGTCCACTGGCGGTTTCACTAATCCAATAAGGGCAATGTAGTTTCTTCCTCCTGAAATTTGCTGTTTAATACGTTTATTAAGGTAAATTAGTGCAGATCCTCTTGGGTCAGGAATAATTAGCAGTGGGCCAGGGTGGAAGCTTTTAAAAACAATTTACATTCCCCTGGAAGCATGTTTTACAAAGAGAAAACGCAGGAGCCCAGCACGGGGACTGCGCTCCTTTAAAAGATCTATGCCTGTGCCCCTGAGCAATCGGGGAGGGCAGGAGGGAGGGGAGGGAGGGGAGAGTGGCTTCGAGAGACAAATTGAATACACTTGTTGATCCCCAACCCATTGGAAAGATTCGGGAAAGATTCCGATTGGGAAACCTGGGTGAAATAGGGCAGTTGGAGGAAAGGCAACTGAATAAATGCTTGGCTGATGAGTCAAGGGCCCAACTGAGAAACCTGGACTTGGGTGGACGACAGCAGGCACTTCAGAGACTGTCACTGGGCTTCCCGAGAGTCAGAAGCCCGTGGAAACCCGCTGACATGCAGTCACCTCCAGTGCCTGGCCAGCCCCTGCATGCCAGTGACGGCTGTGTGCCATGGGCTTGCACTGGCTGATGGTGGGGGGAGACTGCCAGGCCTTCCTCCTGCGCTCCTGAAGACTGGAACCTCCAACCTTAGGGTTAGCAGCTGAACTCCTGGGTTAGTCATCTGCACCGCCCAGGGACTCCTGGTAGCCACAGGCAGGAGGGCTTCCGATCACGAAAGAGCAAGCAGCTTGCTCCAGAGGAAAAGCATTTCTGGCTGCTAAGAGGACTCGGGGGTGGGGGTGGGGGTTGCCTCACCAAATTAATAACAGATTGAAAAGTAATATCCAATTATTTTCTACTAGCAGGGACTTTCCTCCCCCCTAGAAGAAGCTAGAACATTGCTGGGGACCAAACTGTGAAGCAGCAATCTAATCACACCAAAAACACACACTGCCCTTGAGTGCATTCTGACTCCTAGTGACCCTATGGGGCAGGGCTGAACTGCCCCCATGAGTTCCTGACACCATGCTCTTCACGGGATAGAAAGACCCTGCCTTTCTCCCTCTGGAGCAGCTGGTAGATTTGAACTGCTGACCTTGTGGTTTGCAGCCCAACACATAACCACTACACCACCAGTGCTCCTCGAAGTAGCAGTATGAGCACTGTCAAGTCTAAGTCTAAGGCATCAGGAATGCAGCCCTTCAGAAAAGGATGCTGCTTCTCTCTGGTGGCATAAAGGGCTATGTGCTGGGATGCTCACCGACAGTTCAACCCACCAGGCACTCCGAGAGAAAAAGATGAGGCTTCTGCTCCCTCAGAAACCCACAGGGGCAGTTCTGCCCTGCCTTGTAGAGCCACTATGAGTTAGAATCAACTCAAGGGCAGTGAGTTTTTGAATTTTCAGGCCTTGGCTTCCAGAGAGGGGAGTCCACGCTGACACCATCCATCTTGTGTTCTGTCCAGCCTGAGCAGGCCACTGGCTCTGTCCCCCCCATCGAGGGAATGTAACTGACGTTCTCTGCTTAATATCATTTCACAGAGGGAACTAGGTAGAACTGGTTGAGGGAGGAAGGAAGGAAGCTTTGGAGTGGGGAAGAATGACATCCAAGCCAGGGTCTACCTCTTCAGATGAAAGCAGTCTGCAGGTGTTCTTTTCAGTGACCTCTGATGGCTTGGGGGAGTGGGGGGGAGCAGGGGGCGGGGGGTGGGCAGAGGGAGTAGGAGAGAGAGAGCACTGCTGAGTCTGCATTGCTAAAACCATGGCTGCTAAATTGGGCATGTATTTCTGGCGCTCCCCTGTGGTGCAAACGGCAAACACGCGCAGCTGCCAACTGAAAGACTGGTGGTTTGGGTCTCCCTGGAAGCACCTCGGGAGAAAGGCCTGGCCACTGTTTGCAAACATCAGCGGTTTCCAAAGGCAGCTTGTGGAGCGCAGCTCTACTGTGACCCACGTGGGGGAGTTGCCATGCATTGGCGTTGAGTCAATGGGGACAAGGGGTTTTTTTGTGTGAGGCAATTTTTGCTTGTTTTTGTTTTTTAACGTAATAAGTAAGACTGTTGAATGCAAATGTCAAAACCCAACTCGATGTGGCATTTGCAAAATATGGAAGCACTGAATCTTAGAGTTGGAAAGCCAAAGGTGGACAGAGATTTTGCCCGTCTGCCCCAATAGCAAGTCAGCCCAAGAGCCGGGAAGGTCTGTCTGAGTCACCGGGAACCCCAGGTCCAGACAGAGAGTAGCCAGGCAAATCCCTCCCTGAGTCTGTGTTGGTTAGAAGGCCCGTGAGGACAAGGGCTAGAAAGGGTAGGGAGAAAGAAACGGCATCCCCCAAGGTGGTCCAGGGAGCCCTCTTGAGAAGGGAGCATTTGATCCAAGAGCTGAAGGACAAGGAGCTGGCCATGCAAAGACTTGTGGGGGAGAGATCCGCACATGCCAAGGCCCTGCGGTGAGAACCAGTGTGAGGTGATGGGGGCTCTGAGAGGGGCCCCAGTGGGCTCGCGTGAGTGAGTCCGAGAACAGGGCTGACAGGAGATCTGAGTCCCGGGGCCTCAACGCACATCTGAGAGTCAGATTGGGTTTCTCCATGCCGGGACGGGCCTGGCACGAGGGAGTGTTCAGCAGGAAACAACGGGGGCTGGTGATGCTTTGAGAAGACCTCTGTGGGTGCTGCATGGAGAGGGAGCAACAGGATGGGGTGGGGGGAGACCAGGGAGGAGCGAAGAGGGCACTGAACTGTTGGAGCAAGAGTGGAAAAGTGGCTTGGATCCAGGCGGCACACAGGGCGGGGGTCCGGGGCAGGGGGAACGGACTTGCTGATGGGCTATATCGGGGGGCATGAAGAAGAGGAACAAGGCAAGGTGGCTCTTGAGAGTCGACCTCACCACCAGGTGCTGCCCTTCAGGGGTAAAGCGGCGGGGGTGGGGGTGGGGGTGAATTTTGTCCCCCAAATCAGACATGGGTTTGCGTCCTGACCCCTCCACTCATGGATATCACCCCATCTGGAGATTGGGAGTCCGTTGTTCCGTTCAGGAGGCCGGTGTCAGTGTTGGGTGGGTCCTGGTCACACCGGAGTTACAGGAGCAGGCAGTCCCTGCGACAAGACGGGAGGTCACGCGGATGACAGCAGCTGTCCTTAGGTTGAAACGCAAGGCCTGATCATTTAATTTCCCCTTTTGAGCCCTTTTAAACTTGTTTCCATCTTCAATCTTTCCTTGTAAACAGATGAACGTAGGGGGGTGGGTGTCACGGAGATGGCGGTGGGAGGCTGGAAGGCCAGCTAGGGGAGTGGGGACAACAAGGACCTGCCCCTGAGAGAGAGCCGTCCCCCTTGCTTCCTGAACTGTGAGGAAGTCACGTTCTGCCCTTGAACACCACCGCTTGCCGTAGCCCTGCCTCCGTGGCCTGAAGCAGCTCGGACAAGCAGGCCGCACAGAGAAACCAGCCTGTGTCTGGGCAAGTAGGGCCGGAGGTGTCTGAGGGGAGGCCACAGGCGACAGACAGGAGGCCGAAGGGCACATGCAGTGGCCACACCAGACCCAGGGGCATCTTGCGGGGGTGGGGGTGGGGATGGCCGGATTTGTGTGTTTCCGGGGAAGTCTGGCCCCTGCGGCCGTTTCCCGGCTCCCCGACGTTGCCCCTCTGCGGAGAAAGCCCTTCCTCTCCAGCTGGAGCTGCTCAGGGAAGCCCGTTTGGTTTTGCTCTCTTTGTATTTATTTTTTCTTTCCCCAGCTATGTCCCCAGTGCCAGCAGCCCCCAGGGAACCTGGGCAGAATGGAAACCATGTTGCCAGATAGAGAAAGTTAAGTTCACACAAATGAAAACACATTGTCTGAGGAGCAGGGCAGCCTGTGGGGATATCACCAGGGCAGCCGTGTCCCCTGCCCCCTTCCGCAGCTCGGGGTGGGCAGGGATCGTGGATCGTGGAGACAGGCAGGCGGTTTGGGAGCAGGATAAAGGAGAGTCTGCCATCTGGTCCCCAAGGCCCAGCTGCCGCACAAAGCCAGGCTCCTCCTTTGGCTGAGCCTGGGGTGGCTGTTCCGCAGGAGAAGGGGTCCCTTTGTGCGGTGGGCAGGTCTATCTGGACGACTGCCCTTAGGCCATCCTTGATGGCACACGGGGTCAGCACTTGGCTGCTCACTGAAGGAGACAGACCTAGTCATCTGTTTCCATAAAGATTCCCCAGCCCAACTACTGCCATGGGCGATTCCGACTCCTCAAGACCCTCTATAGGGCTTCCGGGATTGCAGATCTTTATGGGAGCAGACAGCCTCATCTTTCTCCCCAGGAGCAGCTGGTGGGTTCGAACCACCGACCTTGCAGTTAGTAGCCCAGCATCTAACCCACAGCACCACCTGGGCTCCGTCCCATGAAGATGGCATCCTAGGAAGCACCCTCGGGCAGTTGCACTGTTACAAGGGGTCTCAGTGAGCCAGGACTCACTCGATCGCACCCGACAGCAGCTCTCTGCAAGCTAGCGCTGTAGTAGCAGTCAAGACCCCCTGAGACCCTCCAGTGGGGGAGCCCGGTCATTAACAACCCAGGGGCCGAACAACTGCTCTGAAAACAACAGCATCCAGGGGAGGTTGTCGCGGGTTCTGTTTTACCTGGTAGAAGCAGGTAAAGCTCCCTCAGCACCTAAGCCAGACACCTGACAGAGCTGAGAGAGAGGCCCAGCCCCGGATCTGGGGCACGTGGTCCAGGAAGAGGGGACAGTGCAGGA